TCACTGTCCAACTCTTCCAAGACAGGTAGTCACTCAATGCTATTTAATGCCTCTTTGGTTACAGAGGTGCCAGACCGGGCTGCCAAGACAGACCACCTGCGCCCGGAAGCACTCCCCCCAGCCTGTTTGCAGCTGCGCATGCGCTCCAGCACACCTGTATGAGCACCGCCCCGCCATTTGTGCATGCACACAAACATGTGCACCCAGACAAGCGCCATGCTGCCATTTGCACATGTGCAGGAGTGCGCCTACACGAACACTGTAAGCCCATGTGAGAGAGTGTGTGCGCTTGTTCGTGCATGCGTGCAAGCGCAGGGGATTCCCCGCCTTCCCCAGCCAGTCCGCGGACTGAAAAAGGTTGGGGACCGCTGGGTTACTATGTTCCCTATAGAATATAGCTTTGAGTAGTGCTGTACCCAGCGTTCTATCGACTGTGCTTGGTCCTGGATGATCACGCCTGTAGCAAACTTCAAAGGAGCAGATTTCTTCTGTATTGGACCTAAATTCTGCTTGATACCATCATACATTCCCTTGATGTTACCTGTGTCCACTGCTGTCTGTACCTGAGAGCAGAGCTGAAGCCAATAATCATTGGAACATCTCCTGGCAGTCTGCGTGCGTTGTCTATATCCTGCAGATCGTCAGAAAAGCCAGAAGTCATTGTCCGAACATTCCAGGTGCCCAGCTTTAGGGCAGAAGTTTTCTTATGGTTATTGCATGGTGCAGGGTTATCAATCTGCTTGTCGGCTTTCACCCTAAGCTCTACACACCCCGTGAGGTTAACAGATGGTGGCAAGGCAGCACATTACTGACTAGGAGCTGCCCAGCATAATGCAGGCAGTAGATACCTAGTGAGGTGCAATGATCTCTTCCACTTTCGGAAGTAGCCCCTGGCATCATGCTCTATGCCAATCAAGCAGACTTATAACTGGTAACTGCTACTTCCTGTGTTATTTTGATGCTGTGTGCAAAGCTGGAGTGTCCTCTCCAGAGCATGAGACCTGGGTAAAATAATATGGAGGACAGACTGTTACCCAAGTAGCAAATCCCCCCTCTCCACATCACTGTAATAGTCCAATGGAAAGGCAAGAGCCAATACAACTGGTTCCAGTGACGTTGCAGGAGTTGCCAGAACATCACGAACTGCCTCCAAGACTCCGACTCTGGATTTTGTCTTGAGGTTTACTCCTGAAGCCTTTTCACCCGACAGTGGAGGTTTGAAATCAGAGATTTCCTTCTCCTAGATGGGCAGGTTTCCAAGGCTAACAAGCCCCATCTACCAGGATTATTATATGGATTATTACGTAATTATATAAAATGTATTGGTTGAACAAACAATGTACAGTGGTGCCCCGTATAGCGAGGTTAATCCGTTCCGGATTAACCTTCGCTATGCGAAAACATCGCTTTACGGGGCAGGAAAAGCCTATTGGAACGCATTAAACTTAGTTTAATGCGTTCCAATAGGCGCAAAAACTTACCCCTCCAGCGATGTTTTCGCGGTCCGGCGGCCATTTTAATGGCCGCGAATGACCTGAAATGGCCCCCCGCAGCGTTTTCGCGACCTCGGTAAGCAAGGGGAGGGCGCGATAACACTGATGGGGGCCATTTCGGGTCATCCGGCGACCATTTTGGAGCCGCCGATCAGCTGATTGACGGCTCCAAAATGGCTGCCGGACCGCGAAAACATTGCTGGAGGGGTAAGTTTGGGCGCCTATTGGAACGCATTAAACTAAGTTTAATGCGTTCCAATAGGCTTTTCCTGCCCCGTACAGCGATGTTTTCGCATAGCGAAGGTTAATCCGGAACGGATTAACCTCGCTATACGGGGCACCACTGTAT